CCGTGTCCAGGTGTCTTTGCTTCGGGATAATATTCTTGTCTTTATTCCTAATTGAAAATAAAATAGTTTTTGAATGGTTATTCTGTGCCAGGCATGGTATAGGGCAGTGAAATTCAAAATCTTATCTGTCTTTCCAGCAATTCTGTGAACTAGAGTCCCTTTAACAGACAAGACAAGCAGAGAGGCAGGTAACTCAAGAGCATTCACTAGGAAGTGGCAGAGCTGAATTTTAAATTCAGGCACTCTGTCTACAGAGTCCATACCCTTTTCTAGTTTCAAAGTACAGGGCCATAAATCGTGCACACATGTATGTGTTTTTTTTAAGATTTTTTTTTTTTTAATTGAGAGCGAGCGAACAAGAGAGCAGGGGGAGGGGCAGAGGGAGAGGGAGAAAAAAATCCCAAGCAGGCTCTGCTCGATCCCACAATGCTGAGATCATGACCTGAGCTGAAACCAAGAGTCAGATGTTTAACTGACTGAGCCACCCAAGCACCCCTGTGTACTGGTTTTTTAAATAAGCTTTTTATTTTGGAATACTTCCAGATTCATAGAAAAGTTGCAAAGATATGACAGAGTTCCTCCTCCCTGCGGCCCCCCCCCGTTTCCTCTAACGCAAACAGCTTCTATAATCATGGTACAGTTATTACAGCTCAGAAATGAACATTGGCACGATGAACTAAACCATAGATCTTACTTGGATTTCACCAGTTTTTCCACCAATATCCTTTCTTTGTTGTAGAATCCAGTCCAGGATCCATGCTGCATGTGTGGGTTTTGACCTTAAACTCCGAAGTGTGCTGAATGTTGGCCCACTGTTTGGCCCCATCCCTGTCTGTGCACGTTAGGGAAGTGAGACAGTGCCCAGCAGCTGCCTGTCTCCTGGCCCGCCCCCCGCCTCATGGGAGGTCCTGCTGTGGGGCCCAGGTCTCCCATTGTCTCACGGAAAGCGGAAACCTTATGCGGGCTAGAAGATTTAGAACAGATATATGGGGACATATTGTAAATACAGGCCACACTCCGTCCTGCACGGAGGTTTGCAGCGAAAAGCCACATTTCAAGAAACAAAAAGTGTAGGGGAAAGAGAAGATTCTTCAAAGCAACAACCTCTGCCGTGTTGTGGACATTGTGTATGATGCGTTTGGATTCTGAGCTCAGTAGGATGTTAAATAGGACTCTTCCCTAGAGCAGAGGTTTCCAACCCTGGCTTCCCCCTGGAATCACCTTGGGGGCACTGAGTCCCACTCCCCAGCCTTGTTGAGTGCATCGTTTTGAAAAGAGACACCCCCCCCCTCACCCCCGGTGACTGCCAGGCAGCCACATTTGGGAAACACTCAGTGTTTCCGCTGGAGCGCAAACGCTGAGGACAGCAGGTGACAAGTGTCTGCACCCCACGAACGGTGCTGGACGCATTGAGCTGCACGTCACGAGGCCGATATCACACAGCCAACACCTCTGGGAAGCACACGTGATTACCTGGGTCATTTCGGGTCACTCTTTTCCCCACCCCCTACTCTTCCAGAGTTCCTCCTCAGGGGGCATCCTGGACTCTTGAGGATTTCCGTGCACCAGCCGTGTTTCCAGCTGTCTTCTCTCCAGGGCAGGGCCCTGCCTTGGCCCTGTCCCTGCCCCAGCGCCCCCTGCCAGCCGCCTGGACCTTCTCACACCCACTGTCAGCTGCATAACCCCAGGCCTGCCTGGGCCCCGGACGTTTGAACCTCTTCCAGCTGTCACCTCCATTCCTGCGTACTTGCTCTTCCTCCACCAACAGGCCTCACTTCCTTTGTGGCCTCTGCAGCCTCCACCTTTGGGTTTAGCTTCAGGGTCAGTTCCTCCTATGCAGGAGCCACTGCCAGTCTGGTCTGCATGTGTGTGTTGACGCATCTCCCTTCCCCATGCAGCTGTGAGCTCCTTGAGGGCGCGACTGGGGCTCTGAGAACTCATTACAGACTGTCTCCCAGTTATAAAAACCGTATGATACACAGGTTGCAGAGACTATCAGCGCCCATGTAACTGCCACCTGCTTAAGCGATGGATCGGGACCCTTGACATCCTTCACGAGTCACGTCTCCTCCCCCAACCAGTTGGCGCCGTTGATCGTTTTTTTGCTTTTCTTCATACTTTTAGCCCATCTATGTCTCCTGTGTTCCAGGCAGAACAGTCTTTTCAGTTTCACTGACTCAGGGCTGACATTAAGGCAGTGAAGCCACAATTCGGTGTGGGACTCGTCCCTTCCGACTGGGAGGCTGTCATAAGAAGTGATGTCTGCAGCCCGGGAGTCAAAGCTCTTGCATTTGGGGAACCAGGAGGCTGATAGAAAACCAGACAGAGCTTTGCTTTCACGGGGCTCCGGGTGGTTGGCCGAGAGGGCCATGCTCTGCAGACCTGTGGGCGTCTACACCTGCGGTGTGTGTGGCTTTGAAGATTATGGAAATGAGAGATCAGGGTGAAGTGGCTCTGCTCACCAAAAGCAGCTGGTGAATAACCATGTCTAGGAAAACAATCTGCTTTTCAAAGGGATGGAGAGTGTCAGTTTGTGAAGACGACGTGTCAGCAAGCCTGTGGTGATTGCTTTGCCGAGAGACTCATTGAGAATATCACTCATTTGGCCCCAGATACTGCCTGGGGAAGGGTGGTGGAGGGTGGGAGGTTGTCCAGAATGCTACAAAGGAACTGCTGCTTGCACTTCATCACATAAGAGAGCCGGAGCCAATACGATGTGTGCAGCAGAGGATGGACATAGATGGCTTAGGAGCAAGGGACATCCTCCTGACCCCGTGACCTCACCTCTGAGAAGTACCAGGATGACTGGGCATGCTGCAGGCTTACTGTCCTTATTTTTGCCTGTTTGGTGCCTCCTAACTGTTCTCCTGGCGTCCTCTCTCACTCCCGTATGGTCTGTTCTCCACAGAGTGAGCTCTTAAAATATGCAGATCTGCTCATGCCCCTCCTCTGCTTCATGTCCTTCAAAGGCCTTGTCCGTCCCACTCAGGGCAAAGATCCAGGCCTGATGTGGTCAATACATCCTGCCGCATCTGGCTCCATCCGGGCCCAGCCCACCTCTAGTGTCCTCCAAGCCCCTCCAGCTGGCCTCGTTCCTTCCTCTAAGGCTCTTTCCTGCAGCATCCCCCGGGACCTCTCTAACTCTCGCATGGCTATGTGGCTCGGCACCACAAACCTGTCCTTCGGCACCCTGGCAGGACTTAACCTGTGCGCATGCTTGACTTCTCTCTCTGCTCCCTGAACAATGGCAACCCCCAAGCAGGCAGGCCACCTGTGCTTGCTTGCTGTACCCTCTCTAGGACAGGGTTTGGGTTCTCTGAGGGGCAGGCACAGAGTGAGACACGCAAGAGGTTGATTGAGGGGGATACCCATGCAGGATAAAGGAGGGGGACAGGAGAAGGCAGGGGAGCAGTTAGCGAGGAAGGAAGCCTCAGACCTGCTTGTTAGAGTCGTCCTGGGTCCCACGGAACAGGCCTCCTTATCACCCTTCTTCCCTTCAATCCCAAGAGGTGCTTCTTTGGGGTGACAGAAATTCGGGAGTGTTCTGGAGCTCGTGGAGTCTCTGCTTTGCCAAAGGGGAAAGAACTGTGAGCTAAACCAATGGAGCCAACTAGATTACCCCATTCATTTAATTTCGAATCAAGTTGTCTTTCCTCTGTGATTAAAGTAGCACATTCCATCCTGTGACAGTTTTTGTATGCATGGCTTATATCCCCTCCTAGATCATGGGCAGTTGGGGGTAGGGACGGTGTCTTGCTCGTGTCTGCATCCCACACAGCAGCTAGTGTTCAATAAGGAGTTGTTTTATTAAAATGGGTTGCACAATTACAATGGAAATACAATAACTGTTGATTTATTCCGCACTAGCACTTGCCTTGCTTGCTAGATGCTTATTACAACGACCTGAAGCCACTTCTGAATCCTCAAGTGCTCTCTGAACTATCAAAGAAAGATGAACTCGTGTTCAGTAGAGTGTTTGTGCTTAGTATGTATATGATTGGATTCTGATTCTCTGAAAACAAGTTAATCCACAGGGATGTGTGGTTTCTTTACGACTCAGGATCTTTGGTTAACCTGAATGTTTTAGAAAAGACTTATGCCCCAACCATGACAAATAGGATTAAAATTCCTTCCATGAAAAGATACATTCACTTATGCTTCCACCATCCATTTATATCCAAGTCGTGCTTTGCAAAGTCTTATGTGCTTGTTCTTTCCTGACTATTCTATGTGTTCTCAGCAGGGGTCCTGAGGGAGACAGACATGCTTTCCCCACATGAGTCATTGCATCATTGAGGAACAGGGTGGCCAAGTGACTTGCCCCAGCCTACATGGGCATTTCACGTAGATTTAAACTTTGGGTCTTGGTTTTAAGGTCTTCCAAGTAAATTCACGTGTATCGTGTTTCCTTAACTTACATGTTTTAGATTTCCTACTTAAAAATAAATACTATCTGGCTGATGTGTATTGGAATGCCTTCTCCGTATACTAGGATTTTGCAGGGATTATGAGGGTGTCAGGAAGCTTATATATAGCATAAATGGGGAACAATTCACATGCACTGAAGAAAATAGCTAGCAGTGCTGGGTGGTAGTAAGTAGGGGGTCAGGAGTGGAGTGGACCGTTGTTGAAGCCTTGTGAACTGCTGATGGGGAAGGTAGCTTGGGGAAGGGCGTTGGAAGCCGGAGGACGGGAAAGATTTGTCTGGAAGAAGGAGAGCGTTAGAGGCAGGCAGACAGGAATTTTGCTGATCTGGCTGGTTAACAGAGGTTTCCCCCAGTTTTCCCTGTAAGTTAGAGGAGTGCATGTTTCCGGGCACCTTATCTGGACTGTATATAGAGGTCTTTTGACATCTGGGTCTATTCTAAGCTCTTGTTGTTCACTTCCCTGCCATCCCGGAGCTCACTGGGCTGATGGTGGTGGAGGGGGGATCCTACATAACCCAGGCCAGGTCTGCGCTCCTCTCCCTAGAGTCTGTTCAGAGCGGGAGGCTGTGGGGGATGGAGAAGATTGTGTGCACCCCTTCCTCCTCAGCCTTTCCAGGGCCAGGTGGGCAGAACGGAACCATCTCTGAGTTTTACAAAGAGCAGAAGGCACAGCTGGTTTCCCTGGCCAACTCTCAAAGCCAGTGTGCGCTTCGAACCCTGTGGTGGTGTACTTCCTGCCCGCTCAACCCTGAAGGTAGGTGTCAGGAAGGAATCTTGCCTTCGGAGGTCTGAATGCATCACAACCCTTCCTTAACTGTAGGGCATGATGGCAGGACTTGGGTTTGGATCAATCTAAGAGGTAGGATTTCAGGCAGGATAGATAGTGATAATTGATTTCTGGTCAGAGGGGATATTGTAAGTTGCCTCAAAAAATAAAAATTGAAAAAAAAGGGGGACTTTGGGTATAGGGAACTGGGGGTCTTTCTAGAGGTTCCGAGCTGCCATCTGCCCAATATGGGTTTCTTCTAATCCTTCTAGCTCATTCCAGAAGTGCTGTCCAGATCCGGCTGTCAGTTCTGCCCTCTCCTGAGGGTTAGGATTAATAGTGTGTGATTGTGTCTGCCTCGTGGGCCGCCTTCCAGGAAGGCCCATGCCAGGGGATGGGAGGTATGAGGGGTCTGGTGGGTGCAAGAGCTGGGCCATCCACACACCTGACCCTTCTCTCGCATCCCCATATTTGGTGAACATTTTTCTCACGTCTGGTCTTCTTGGCTTGTTACTCATGCAGCACTGTGGGCCCAATAACATCTTACCAGCACCCCAGTAGGAACGTGGGTTCTCTTTGTGGTCAGGACCCTGACATACAGGGACATCCTCAGATAGTGAAATCCCTGAGGGAAAGGATGGGGGGGGTCCTTCAGACCACATAGCATGGTGACCCAATTTGACCTATTTAAAGATTTTTAAAAAATTTTAATTGGGATAAGTACACATAACATAAAATTTACCCTCTTAACAATTTTTAAGTGTACAATTCAGTGGCATTAAGCATATTCATGTTGTTGTACAACTATTATCCCCATCCGTTTCCAGAACTTTTTCATCTTCCCAAACTGAAACTCTGACCCCATTAAACACTCACTCCCCATTCCTCCTTCCCCCAGCCCCTGGCCGTCACTATTCTACTTTCTGGATCTATGAATTTGACTCCTCTAGATACCTTATATAAATGTATATATGTATATAAATACAATATTTGTCCTTTTGTGACTGACTTACTTCATTTAGCATGATGTCGTCAGGGTTCATCCACATTGTAGCCTGTGTCAGAATTTCTTTCCTTTTTTTTTTTTTTTAAGATTTTGTTTATTTATTTGACAGAGAGACACAGCGAGAGCAGGAACACAAGCACGGGGAGTGGGAGAGGGAGAAGCAGGCTTTCCGCAGAGCAGAGAGCCCGATGGGACTCGATCCCAGGACCCTGGGATCATGACCTGAGCCGAAGGCAGACACTTAACGACTGAGCCACCCAAGCGCCCAGAATTTCTTTCCTTTTTAAGGCTGAATAATATTCCATTGTATGAATTTACCACATTTTGTTTATCCATTCACCCAACAATGGACACTTGGCTTGCTTCTACCATTGACTATTGTGAATCATGTTGCTGTGGGCATGGATGTACAAATATCTCAAAGAGATATATTTTCTGCTTTCAATACTTCTGGGTATATAGTGAGAAGTGGAATTGTTGGACCATGTAGTAATTCTATTTTTAACTTTTTGAGGAACTACTGTACTCTTTTCAGCTACTCTGAAAACATTTTACACAGTGCACACTAGTTCCAATTTTTCTACATTCTAATCAACACTTGTTATTTTCTGTTTAAAAAATATTTTTTTCAATGTCTTAATTTTTTTGAAGTTTTTATTTAAATTCCATTTAGTTCATATACAGTGTAATATCAGTTTCAGGTGTACAATGTAGTGATTCAACACTTCCATACATCACCTAGTGCTTATCATAAGTGCCCTCCTTAATCACTGCTGGGTTTTTATTTTTGTTTTTGTTTTTGATAGTAACCATCTGAATAGGTGGTCCAATTTGGATTATTAACTAATGAGTTAAGTGATTCCTTCTGTACATTTTCTGTACATTTAAAAACTTTTTTAAAAAGATTTTTATTCATTTATTCATGAGAAACACAGAGAGAAAGAGAGAGAGGCAGAAGCAGAGGGAGAAGCAGGCTCCCTGCACAGCAGGGAGCCCCATGTAGGACTTGATCCCAGGACCCTGGGATCATGACCTGAGCCGAAGATAGATGCTTAACCGACTGAGCCATCCAGGTGCCCCCTGTACATTTTTATCATGTCCTTTTCTACCAATTCTGACTTTGCATGGCCTGTGTCATTAAGGAAAAAGAAAAATCAATCTTTCTTCTGACTTCCTGCCATTTCAAATTATCATCCTAAGTGATATACTTGGAGGCAAAGGATATAGGAAGAGCGTGTGTTTTGGAATCAGAAAGGCCTTGGTTCATCCATCCCTCCCTCATCCTTCCATGCATCCATTCATTCATCATTTATCAATGCACTTAGGGACATAGGAGAGCATTGTGCTGGTTTATTGTCCTGTAATGAGCAACACAGGCTTTGGTAAGCTACGATCTAAGTTCTGGGCAAATTAAAACCTTCTGGGCTTTAATTTTATTGTTTATGAAATGGAAAAATGGTATCAAGCCCCTAGGGTTGTATGTTGTATACCCCCCTCCCTTCCTTTACCCTGACTTCCTCTCCTACGCCCTGATAGCCCTTACTTTCGCTCCTCCCTCCACTACCAGCTACCAGAATTCTATGTACGTGGGTGGTATTAGCCCTTCCCTGGCACGTGGCAGTTGGCACACCCAGTTGGCAAGAGAAGGTCACTGGGTGAACCTGTCTTGGGCTCTTTAGTCCTTAGATGCTCAAATTCAGGGAATGGGTGGCCCATGGGTTGTTGTGCTCTTTTCCCCAGGGATTACCATTGATACCTGTTCCAAAGACTGATGTGTGCCATGATCATAACGCAGGGGGAGCCCGAATGCCCAGCGCTTTCTGCTAACCATGACAAAGATCCTGAGCCCGTCCGTGTTCTGGGGGCAGAGCAGGATGTGTGTGCCTGGCACGAAGCTTTGTTCCCCTCCTCACCAGAGGCTGTAGTATACCTAGAGCCATGTCCCGTGCTGCCTGGTCGTCCTTGTATGCTTTGCATCTCATCTGGTTCATGGTGTGGCAGAGCGCGGCAGCGAGGGGGCCGTGCAGGCTAGGAGAGTCAGGAGACTGTGATGCTGGTCACTCAGGCACTTGCAGGGGTTTCTGGAATGTCAATTTCTCTGAGCCTCCGTTTCCTTCACTGTAGAAGGAAGGTTACAATTCCTGGCCTGGTTGATTCACATGATTTTGGCAGGGAGCACGTGAAATGAATGTAGATTATGCACATATTCTGAGTAACAACGTGCTCTGCAATGGAGAAATAATAACACCTTCAGCACACTTATGTGTGCCAGGCACTGTTCTAGGCTGTCTCCAAGTAATGACTCATTTGGTTAAATGTGCAAAGCCACCCTGTGCGAGAGGTACTGGTAACGTCTCCATTTTACTGCTGAGCACACCGAGGCACAGAGAGGTTAAGTAACGTGTGGAAGGTCACAGCCAGCCATGGCAGCCGGGGCTTGAACCAGGCAATGAGGTGCCAGAACCAGGCAATGAGGTGCCAGAGTCTCTGCTCTCAGCTGCTGTACGATCCTGCCTGAGCGCTGTTGGCATTTTTTGTTGTTTCTGTTCTTCTTGCATAGCTGGGCAGAGGACACAGCCCCCGGTTCGTAGGGCACATCAGGCAGGGCCTCCTGTGGGCCAAGGTGTGAGATGAACTGATGGGCGTAAACTGTGCCCCAGCCGGCTCTCCAGGGTCCAGACGCGTGCAGGGACAGGGATAGCTCCAATAATGAAAACTCACGTATTGTTCAGTACGTAGCTAGAGCAAGTGCTTGGATCTCATTTGGAGGAGGGTGTGGGCGTTTGCCTTCCGGTCGCTCGCTTTCCAGGCCCACTCTGGGAGAAAAGTGCCGATGGGCCCAAGAGCCCAACGGGCAAGATGCCGGAGGGCTCAGATGGAGCCGCTGAGGTTGTGTCTCCAGTGGGCCTGCTGACGTGTTGGCATACCTCACGGCCGCGTTGGAGAGGGTCATCAGAATCCCCGGCCGGGCTGGCCCCGTGACCACTGAGCTGGCATCTGTCTGACAGACGCACAGAGCGGTGCCCTCTAAACCCCAGATGCTCTCCCAGTGCAGTTCCTGTGGAGCCGGTGAGAGTTGCGTGTTTATGCTGCTGTTTCTCTTTTCCTCGCAGGTGGCCAGGATTGCTTACCACCTGCAGTGACCTTCCGGAGGAGGCGCCTGGCACGGAGGCTGGGCTACATGAGAGGCGCAGCCGGGCCCCGGATTGGGTTTCTCTGCCCAGCGGCGGCCGCTCCGTTACGGGCCCAGGGAGGGGCGTGCGGTGAGGAGTGCCACCAGTCTGAGTCCAGGGCCGGACAGTGTGACCGTGATCCTGGAGGCCATCGGCGAGGCCCCTCAGTTGGGAGCCTTGTTCCTAGGAGCACAGCAGCCTCGGCTCCGACCCCCGTGGGCTGCCTCGGCCTGGCTCTGGCCCCTGTAAGAGGACCCCCAGGGCTCTTTGGGATTCAGCTCAGAGCTGCCACCACACTACCTGCCAGGCTGGCCAGGTCGTGTGGCCCTGGGGACGCTGGGGGGCAGGACGAGCTTCCGTCCATGGACAGTTCCGAGGCTCCCGGCCTTGGCTGGGGTGCTGCCAGGGGTGGAAGAGCAAAGGGTACCTGGACAAAAGGCCATCTGGCCCCAGAGGAGGTGACTGGCAACAGCTGCAGCCTCGGAAGTGGCCCCAGGGTCCCCTCAGCCCCTGCCGGCTCTCAGGACGCCTTTACTTCAAGCTTTAGCTTCATACGGCTCTCGCTTGGCTCTGCTGGGGAGCGTGGAGAGGCGGAGGGCCGCCCGCCCTCCAGAGAGGCCGAGGCCCCTTGTCAGAGCCCCGAGGAGACGGAAGCCACGGCTGCCAGCCTGGACAGGCCACACGAACACCCTCGACTTCTCTCTCCTCACTTGAGTCTCAAGACCCCTCAGCACCTGGCAGACTCTGCGCAGGCCGCAGGGGGCAGCTGCGGGCCGGAGAGGGAGCCGCTTTCCTTACTGGACACGGACACCGCCTCCTCCTGCTCCCCGGGCCCCTCCTGGCCTGCGGGCAGCAGCTTGGGGGACTCTCAGCACTGGGGGACCCTGCTCAGGAGGTGCGCGCCCGTTCTGCTGGACTGCCTGCTGAGCGACCAGAGGTGGCTGGAGGTTAGTGTCTCCCAGCCTGCGGGGCTGTGACTGTTCCAAGCTCAGATCTGCTCCGGGCAGAGGGCAGGAACCGAGGAGTTCTGGGGTTGACCACCAGCGTCCCCTCGGAAACTGCAGCAGCTCTTTTTTTAACCGGCTGCAAAAAGATGCCACTGTACTTCTGTTTCTTGTCTTTCAGTTCGAACACAAATCTGTCCCCGTTCCCGTCTTCTCTGTCACGTGGTTGCTCAGATTTGCTCTTTGTTGGGCGGCAGGCTCCTCTGCACTTCCCGGCCTAAGAGATGTGTGGTTAGCTCTGCCCAGCTCTGCTCTGAAACAGGAACTTGGGGGCAGGGGCAGGGGAGCTGGCTGGTGTGTGGTTGAGGGGTCTGAAGTCGGTGATGCCCCACAGTGGGGGTGAGGCTGGGCTTCATCTGCATTTACTGTGCCCCTTACATTTCATCCTGCTCAGTGGGAACTGCCTGACACAGCCAGGAGACTTCGTTCCTGGGCATTACATCCCTCAGGCTCTCAGTTCCCTTATTTAAAGATGGTAACACTGCACGGGATTGTTCTCTGGCTGCAGTGAGAAGCTGAGGGCTTTTGGAAGCTAGGATGGGTTGTATTCACGTAAGCCCTGGCATCATGAGGGTGCTGTCCACCCAGTTATGTGAGAGATGGGTACAACTGTGAGTAGGCAGTGTTGTGCTACCCCCCAAAATTTCCCCAGGAAACCCAGGCAGAGATGCTTTGTGACTCACCCATTGCGCTGTGTGTGGCTCATCCTACTGAAAGGCTGTGTTTTCCTTCTGTGTTGTGTGTGCATGTGATGTGTGCGCATGGGTAAGTGTGTGCATGTGTGTATGTGTATGTGTGCATACATGTACATGTACACAAGGAAGTAGAACACCCACTCATCAGGCATTTGGTAGAAGTACCTGAAAATGTGAAGGTCGTGTTCATTCCCAGCAATTGCACTCATTTACTTTCAGTTCTTTACACGTGGCCTGATGTTCCTGGCCCTGGCCCTGTTTGCCCTGTTCCAGCCCTCAGGGACCTCAGCCCAACCATGTGATTTGTATCACGAGGAGATCCTGAAGGCAGGCTGGATATGCGTGCAGGTCTCCGTTCCCAGGTGATGCACAGAACCCTCGAGTTAGGTGTGTTCAAAGCTGACGTCATTGTCTTCCCCACCAAACCTGTTCTAAAAGGCTCTGGTCTTGATACATTTTTGTTGATGTTAATGAATAGCATCCATCCAGCATCGTCAACACCTCTCTCATCCTCACTCCCCGGTCTGGTCAGCCCTCATAGTCCTGCAGCTAACCTGCCTCTCACAGCCATGGCCTCTGCCCTGGTTCAAACCCTTGTTATTTTTAACCTGGGTTTTGTAAGAGATTCTTGACATATTTACTTTCCTCCAGTATCTCTCCTCTCCAGTTCATCCTCCGGATGGCCAGCAGAGTTATCTTCCGAAATACCGGTGGGATAGTGTTATTCCTTGGCTTGAAACCTTTGGTGGCTCATTGCTCTTCTCGGGATGGTATCCAAGTTCCTTATCCTGATAATTGAGACCTTTCCCAACCTGCACCAGCCTGCCCCAGTGCCTTACTCCTGCTGGTTCAGCCATCTGGTGTTGCTTCCTGTTCCTGAAGACACCAAGGAAAGCTGTGCCTCAGGCCCTTGCCTACAGTTCTCCCTCTGCCTGGAATGACCTTCCTACACCTTTCCACCTGCCAAGATCATATAATCCCTTTGGAGTGGGTCTGAAGCCACCTCCCTGTGAGACATTTCCTGCCCCCTCTGGACCAAATGAATCCTTCCTTCCACGTTGCTCCCACAGCACT